AGATTTAAATGGCTTTTGCAGAAAAATTAAATTTTTTTTATATGTTATATAACCTTACCAGTGATGTGAATAATATCACATTACTTTTGTAGAGGAGACTTCATTCAAATTGTTTCAAATGCTTATGGAAAATTATTTTAATATTATGACTTTGGTTATATTAGTTACTGTTAATAAGGAAAAGGTCACTGTATGATTTGAGAACAAAAACAACAGAAATGCAACGCTCAAGAAAAGAGCTGAAACAGCATTTTCTAACTGGTCTCTCCTAAGGTCTAAGTTTGTATTTATGCTGTTTTCTGAACAAGGATGAGTAAGAAGCAGTGCTGGCGTGAATGACAGAACTAAGCAGACTACAAAGAATATAATAACTACATGATTTAAGAAACTGCATTTTAAAAAGAATCTGGATTCACTGTTGTACAGTTTGGTTATTATGTTAATATGGATCTTGTAGTATGCAGTGATTTACCTCAGGCATCCCGTGGTATTGCGTAGAACTAGAGAAGTCTGGAATTTAATTTTATGATCATCATCAAAGGCAGAATTATTCCATCCAGAATGTGGAACTATCACAGTGTTTGTTAGCGTAGACAGAGCATCTCTAATGATTGTCATTTTTACTGCATCACATGAGGACAAGTTCCAAAGAACTCCTAAAAAGAAAATCCCATTGCAGTATTTAATGTTGAAAGATCACAAGAGACTTGGCAGCATTTATTATACCAAATATAAAATAGCATTCACTGTTAAACAGGTGGATAAAAATCAACAGTGAAAAAAATTGGATTTTAAAATTTAAATTGGATTTTTATTTAAATTAGATTTTTAAAATGTAATCACATTTTTTGATTTTTTTCTTAAGATGCTTTAAAAACAAAAACCTATATAAAGATAGTTTTAATTTAAGATATGTTAGAGCTCAAAGATACCATTGTGGAATAGGGATTATAACTTGAGACAATATATTTATGTAAACTTTTTTAGAAATGTTTTATAAATAGGTCACAACAAGCCATAGACTGTTAGGGGCCCAATCCTATGGGGTTCCCAGAGGTTCCTCTATAGATTAGTAAAGATTAAAAAAAAACAAACCTCTCTACCCAATGGGACTCAGTACTCAGTCTAGAAGATCCCATTAAGCATCTCTGTGATGCTTAGTTTCAGTTCTCAAACTCTGGATTTGTGTCTCCAGAGATAACATCTTTGTTAACAGCAGTATATGGAAATGAAAGAACAGACCTGATAACCACCAGCCCTATTGTGTCTCTGCAAGTTTGTGTACGCAGAGTCAAGCCCTTGCCGTTCTCTACAAGTGCAAAGTTTCAAGTTAAATGAATAGAAGATTGTTGGGGTCATGAATGTTGCATGCTCCCGGAGGCTGGGGGGGCACGGCGAGCTCTTGCAGGTGGTGGCAAGTGGTGAGCTCCCGCAGGTGGCCACAGTGCTGTCAGGGGGGTGGGGGGTGGCGTGTGCCGACCAGTGGTTGGTGACCACCCACAGACACTGCCAGCAGTGATCGAGGACTGCCCGCAGATGTCGCGGGTGGTGCCGGTGGTGAGGGGGCAGGTGGGGTGGCAAGCAGCAACCACTTGCAGGCACCACTGGCAGTGTCAGCGGCGCTTTTTGCAGGGGGTGCACCACCAAGCTCAGTGGGTACATGTGCACCTGCATGCGCCCACTACATGTCACGAGTGGTTGGGGTGGAATTGATCAGGGCAAGGAAGAAGAGTGTAGAGATCAATGCAAGAAGGGAGGGGCAGTAGAAACGGAAGAGAAACATTTTGAGTAGAGTATTCCAGAAGTCTTAAGGAATACATTTCAGAGTATTGAGACTGTAAAAGAGACTCAGTTTGGGAAAATTTTCATGAAGGTTCTATCAAACAACAAGAATATACTTTTTGTAGAAAACAATGATTAAATAAAGGCTTCCTGACCAGTGACTTAAATTGTGATTTAAATCAAATCTACCTTTGGCTAAAGATCCAACATGTAAAGCAGGGGAAGAATACTTTACCTATACACAAGCAAAGGCAATATGGCGCATCATCCTACCTTTACACTCCAAAGTGCATATGATCAACAGGTCATCTGAAAAGTTGCCCTTGAAAACTTTTATTTTACAGACTGCATAAACAAAATGGCTTTCATACTGTGGGGTATATTTTCCTTGACATTCCCCAGCCTGGCTGATCAATCAGAGCAGAAGCGACAGCAGCCTACCACTCAACTGTCTGACAAAACAAAGCATGAAATGATAAAAAGAACACACCTAATCTTAGGTGAAATGGAGGGAACGCATGTACCTCAGTTACTGCAATACACGTCTCATTTCCCCAACAGAAGAAAAAAGCTTTGGAGAAATTTTCTTTAGTGATCTAATAGGGTGCAAAAGACCCCTCTCTCACAGAGAACAGAACTCCATTATAACATTTCAGAAGACAGGAGGAAGATCCACATCTGATTCCCTAGGGACAAGTACCCAGAGTCTCAATGCAGTTGACAAAACACATCTTCCTGAAGGTATGTGTCTTGGACTGGATTCTTGTGTCCCTAAAGGCTTAATTAGGGTTGTCAAACATACAGCCCATGGGCTGGAAATGACATATGGTACTATAAGATTCAGCCTGTGGGTCTCTTGCCAGCCCCAGCCCTGCATGGCAGATGACAGAACAAGGAATAACAGTCTCAAGGTGAAGCAAGAGAAGTTTAGGTTAGATACTAGAAAGAACTTTCTCACTAGGAGGGCAGTAAAACACTGGAACAGGTCACCTAGGGAGGTGGTGGACTCTCCACCCTCAGAGGTTTCCAAGACCCAGCTAGACAAAGCTTTGGCTGGGGTGATCTAGTTAGGGATGGTCCTACTTTGGGCAGGGGGGTGGACTAGATGACCTCCTGAGGTCCCTTCCAACCCTAATTTTCTATAATTCTATGTCACACCCTGCTGGATAGCTGTGTGTGCTGGCTCTGGAGCCAATCCAGTGGGGTACCACATGCACAGAATGCCCTGTGCCAGCGACTTGTGCCTCATGCAGCATGTGTGGCCTGTCCAGCCCTCCTGTGCTGTGCACAGCATGCGCTGGCCACTGGTCTCGATTTGCAGGCAGCCTGTGGGCTTGACCTGGCACTGCACATAGCACAGGGGGGCTGACTGCATGCAGTGCCCACAGTGCCAGAGCTAGCAAGCATGCTTAGCACAGAGGGACTGTCTGGGTTGGAGGCTGCATGCAACACCCTGACAAATTGGCCCTGTGCACTGGCACTGTGAGCCGGATGAATTTGACATCCCTGGGCTAACCTATTTTCTACATATCTAAGAACCAATACCCTAAACGAACCTCTCGTCTCAGTAGAAAAGATTTTTCCAACACTGCACTCAACATGGCAAACACCAAACCATAGTTCTCTGAGAAGAAAAAAACAGAAGAAACTTTGTGCTGGCCAACTGGGTAGATAACTACGTATTAGGGTTCTGAGTGAGCAGCTTACTCCGCGAGTAAGCTACGGACAGAAATTACACATAAACCAGTATAAGTGATCAGAAACTGCTTCAAATCTGTAACACAACAAAAGTTCAGTGCACATTAACCGCTTTCAAAATAGCTGAAGTCAGTTTAAGAGAAACCTGGAAGTTATATCATTTTACTGAACTTTGGTTCCAGATCCCCTCCAGATTCAAGTTAACTCACAGTCCCCCGGCATCCCGGATGCTCTGCACCTCCCCCACAACCCCCCCTTGCAGGGTGGGTGGGCTAACCTGAGCCCAAGCTGTCTGCTTCAGCCAAGCAGGGAGGTGTGCTTTAGCACCCCCTGGCTTCTGGCCTGGGCCACTGCAGGCATGTGGCTGCATTTCCAGAACCAAAAGTGAATGTCTGTTTACTTCCTTATTGGTTCAGTCTACGCAGCTTAGACTAACCTGCAAAGACTGAATTATTTTGGCTTCCGGCCTTTTGACTATCTGTACTTAGCCCTATGTCATCTATGGTCCAGAACCTTGAGCTTCTTGCCTCGAGCCATTAGGGCTGAAAAAAAATTATTTAAAAATATGAACTAAGTAGAATCGGTGTAGCATTATCTACCTTACATACAATGTCAAAATAGTTCTGTGAGGTGTAAACTGTCCCCACTTCCCCCTAAAAAGTTAAGATGTTAACTTAGCAACTCAGTGATAGGAACTTAAATGTAAGCATTGATAATTTTACTGTTGATCAAAAAACATAAGGAAGAAAATAGATTATCATATTCTGAAGATCTGCAGACTCTGTTAGAATGAATCTTTCTGGATCATGAACAGATACTGCTTAGAATACTAACAGCCAAGCATCAACACTAAACACATATGAAGAAGTCAGGATCACTCATGAAGCCCCACAAAGCATATATGATGACCTTTTAATTCATCTCTACAATCTACTGTGTGTAATATCACTCTGGTGTCTCAAATAGGTGGAGTATGGAACACTTCAACTCCTTTTTCCCCCACCATTCTATTTGACTGCTAAGTAACACTTACGTTTTGCTTGTCTTTGAAAACATGGGCAAAAATGTATGGAAGTTAGGTGCTCCTCTGCTTTTAGTTATATGCCAGTACAGCCTTCAACAGTACAAAAGCCATCGCTGCTCTTTGGCATACGTTTAAATACCCCTAAATACTGTTTCCTTCTCATCAACTCTAATTTAATAGATTTCATAGACATTAGGGGCTGGAAGGGACCTTGTGAGATCATCGAGTCCAGCCCCCCACCATAGGTAGGAAGTCTGCTTGGGTCAGCAAGATAAGCATCCAAATGCTTTTTGAATGAGTCCAGAGTAGGTGCTTGCACAATTTAAATAATAATTTACAATTAATCAGTTAAAAAAAGTTTTAAATATGCAAACTGTGGAGAGAGAAAGGCTGCCAAAATTTGGGGTGTTTTCCTCAACACACCTCAGCCTGGCTGACTGATTTTTAATTAAGTTTAAAAGTGTACCAAACTGACCTCTATTAAGATTCAAATCATACACATATGTGTTTTAGAAAAGAATTCAAGATCTTTCTAAAATGTAATTTTTGTCACCTTCACATAATCTGAGATAACTTAGTGAATGAAGAAGGTGCCTTCTGTTGCTTCAGTATTTGCTACCTAATAGAAAATTTCAGCATGAACTGGAACAAATTAAAAGGGTTTTTTTAGTTAGACTATGTACATAAGGTCAGTAGGAAGAGCTCATTATTGTTAGGAAGAGTGCTCCAAAACCTGCTCACATTTCATCAAGAAATTGAAGAATCAAAGCATGCTGGATACAATTTACAATACAATACAAAACAACTTTTCTTGCATCAAGACAACTATGAAAGGAACAAGTGATTTGCTCCATTTTCTCCATATGAAAATTATATGCAGCTGAAATGATATTTTACTGAATGAAGCAATTTGTTGGTATGATTAACAGCAGCATTGTACTCGTACTATATGAAAAAAATCATGCATAGAAAAATAAGGAAGAGGCTGGCCAATTCTATTTATCCTCTTACAGTGAGAAACTTCTAGGACCAGCTAATGAAATTAGTATCTGCCCCCTCTCCACGTCACTAAACAATAAATAAACCAAAACTTTTGCACCTTCACTTAAAGGGCAATTAATACTTGATGGATCATGAAAAATGCTGTTAAGG